TTACGCGAGGAAAATGAGCGCTCGGCCGCGCAAATTACTTTCTTTCAAGTAATAACGTATTCCTTTGTATGTTTCTTAGCTTTCAAATATTTACAGATATAAAACTCGTAAAATTGGAAATATGCCAAAAAGGAGTGACGCACAACCCGGGTGCAAAAACACTCGGACAAGCCTAGGGTTGCCATACCATCCGGAAAATTCCGGACATGTCCGGAATTTAGGGTTAAATTTTGCGTCCGGAATAAATTTTAAATAATGCTCAAATGTCCGGAATTTTACTGCATCTGCAATCGTACTGTGAACACTGCTAATGCAGAACATTGTTTATCAATATCCTTCATTACTACAAGAGGAAAATGCGTGCCCATTGAAAATAGATGCCAATTGAAACGTTTATTTTCCCTGGTCTTGCGTTGTTTTGATTGTGACGCAACAAGGTGAAATTCATCGGTCTGTAGGCAAACTGTGCAATCTCTAAAGACAGCGTACTGCGAGCATTGGAGAAAGTGATTATGGTTATTTGAACTAGGGGGAGTTTTTAAGAATTCATTAGATGGGCAAGCGACAAGGGCAATAATATCAACACGAAGATTTAATTTAGTTACATAAGGTCAATGAATTGTTGTTGCAACAAATTGTTAGTCAATATATCATAACTTTGTTCGGTGTCTGATTACCGGGGGTTCGCGTTGACAGAAAAAACTTGACAGGAAAGAGGTCGAGAACCCCTTTCTTGAACCTATTGACCGTTGTGCTGAATAAGAATTGGTTAGATATAACCAATATTTGGTACCAGTATTCAATTGATGCTGTTCTGAAAAGTTTTGAAGAAAACGATATCGCGTATTTTGGCGTTGCAACAGATGGCAGCAATCACAATGAACTGAAATTATTCCCTACAATTATTCAATATTTTGACTGGAGGAATTGTGGTTTGCAATCAAAATTGATTGAGTTTACAAACAAGGCAAACGAGACTGCCGACACAATTGCCACTTATAAAAAAGACACATTAGAAAAAATGATGCTTTTGAAAAAATGTGCGTCATTTACAGAAGACGGAGAACTTCGGCGTAATGACCAAGGAAACAATGTGTTTGCGAAGTTAAAGAAAATGTTAAACCCGTCATTGATTGGGGTTGGCTGCCCAGCACACGTTTTGAACAATTGTATTCATCATGGGGCTGAGAGAATGAACATCGATATTGAAAATAATACCAATAAGATATATCAATATTTTTCTATTTACACAGTTAGAACTGAACAACTGAAAGAATACTGTGAATTTGCAAATTGTGAATACAAGAGACTTCACTCTCATAGCTGACTCGCTTGCTCTCCTTGTTTCCTGGAATTTCAAGATTGTTAGAAATGTTTTCTGTCACAAGAAC